CATATAACTTTAATAAGTTCAAAATTGGTTTTTTTTGAGTTTTTGTCATTTTTCTGGTTGTTGTAACAAATGAAATAATTAGCAACAAGATTGAAAACGTTTTTTTAGAATAAAGCGAATAAATTATTTTAATCATGGTAAAAAGATTTCAGTTAGTTAGATTTGTCACACTTTTGAGGCCATTTTACTGGAAGTTTATTAATCTAAATTTCCTTACATTAATTTAAATCTTTTCTTAATTTTTTGAAAGGACTTCACTTGCTGTATCAATCATGCTAAAATAAAATTATATGTATATATATATAGTTATAGTTATGAATACTTTTTTACATTAAGTTGGTGGATTATAGTATTTTTCATAGTTTGAATGGTGAATTAGAAACCAGCTTCAATAACATAAATTGCAACATCCATTTTATACTAACATCAGTAAGTATTAATGTTTTACCTATCAGCAATTTTGTTTTTTGCATTAAGACCTTCGAATGGAGATAAATTTAATTTTGTGACTGAATCCATATTTGATTGTATTGTCCTAACATCCTAACATTCACTTTTTACTTGTAGCTCTATCATCTTTCTTGGTTATAGTATGCATACACTTATTGTAATGATATATCTGTTTCATTTTCACTTACTATTGTTTTAGATATTCTTTATGCAAGTTTGGACATTCAATTGGTTCATAGCAAAGATAAATAAATAATTTGATATCTTCATATGTTAATTACAAAGACAAATAGAATTCATTAGAAACCTTACTAGAAGCAAAAATATTACATGTTATTTGAATCAAAGCATAAAACCATTCAAAGATAGATGTTACTATCTAAAGGCATAATCATGCACAAGTTGATAAAAAAAATATATAATCAGTTATTTACAATTAAGACACTCAAAAATATTAGGTCAATTAATTTTTTGAATATTTTTAATGGCTAGTTATAACCCCTAATTCTTATGAACAGAAAGGTCTATTTTTATATAAAAATAATAAATAAATAAATCTCTATTTATATGAAAATAAAAGGTGTTTCTCCACATTTAGGATGTATTCTTTTTAAAGACTAATTGAGTGACTTTGCATTAAAATAAATAAATAAATAAAATAAATAACAATAAAACTGAGTACAACCAATGCAATTTGTTTTCCACACCATGTGAACAATGTAGATAACTTTATTGTATTTTTAGTATTAAAAATGATGATGCAAGATTAGCACACACACACACAAATTTATCCGGAAATTATACAATATAATAATATGGCACATTTGGTATAATTTTGAAATTCATAAAACAAATTAATTGCCAATGATGGTTTAAAGAAGAACAGAAATCAAATGATCTTTATTCAAACATATTTATCAACAAAAAAATCCAGAGATTTCAAAACTTGGATCACCATATTTTTCATTTGGTAGTTAAGATATTCATTGGTAATTGATAAATAACGTTATTTCAAATAAATAAAAAGTACATATACACAGATCCAAAAGTACACAGCAAGAAGAAGAAACATTATTTTTGGGAAAATGCATTTAGAAAAAAAGTATAGAAAAAATTGTAACATAATTCACAGTAAGTTTCATTGGAACTTACATTTTTGTAACCTAACTGTCAAGTTTCAATACAAAATGATGAGGCAAGTAGTTACTCCCTCCCTCAGCCCTGATTTCTAGTTTATATTAAGATGAAAGTATTTTAAACAATCAACCTTCTACCTAAATGCAATACAAGGAACCCTTTTTATTTCAAGTGATTAAAATAAATAAATAAATAAATAAATATCCTTTCTAACAAGGAGAAAAATGAATAATAATAATAATAAAAATAAATAAAAGAAGAAGATTTAGTTTCATTGCATCACACAATACCAAGCCAGAAATTGGCACAAGAACCACCAGGATGCTTGCACTCACAAGTTGCATCTCAAATGATTGTAGACTTTCCACACAATTGCCATTTTTCTCACCAAAAGGATGAGGTGGTGCATGATCTAGTTGCAATCTTTTCCCTACTCACACTATCCATGATTCCATTGCTCTCTCTTGCCATATGTATATATATATATATATATATATATAGTATTTCACACTTTTGTATACCTTGTTGCTTGTGCATCATATTCCTAATGTCTTTGTGGTCACTTTCCTTTGAAAAGGCTTGTTATTCAACCTCTAGTCCAACTACTTGGACCATGACTCTACCAAAGCATACTTAGAACCATCCAAGTAAACTCAAAGTCTAAGTCCAACCATGCCTACTATGGAGTGACTAAACTAAACTAACATAGGTATTGACATCAAGTCAACTTCCCCGTCTAAGTGGTTGTTGGTTTCAACCCACAATGGAAACTGGGGATCATCTCTTCAAGCCACATAATATGGAAATATGGGCAATTGGTGAAGGCCAAATGCAAGTCAAATCATAGTAGTATGGTCACCTAGAAAGCATTCTTGACTTGTTTTTATTTATTTATTTATTATTGTTATTGTTTGCATTCACCGTGAATGGTCAATATTATCATTCATGGTTTAGAAAACCTAAGGGATGATGAAAAAATCTTTTGGACAAACAATTGAGTTTGACAATTGCTATTGAAACATTGGAGACTGGATTCTATTCTTTCTTTGTTTTTATCCTATAAATGGATTTCATCAACTATTGCGAGGTGGGGTGTGTTGTATTATTAAAGAGATGAGGGCTCTTTTTGCGAAGGTGCCTTCATTAAAGAGGGGGAGGGAACCTGTACCAGGATGTTCCCCCATGTTTGTTGTTCCCAGTGGGTCTCGAATAGAAGGATTGCTTGGTGTTGTGTGGGCCATGAGATTCTTGTGATCCAAAAACCCTAATAAAGCCCTACATAACATGAAAAAAAGTGGGCCTTAGTAGGCTTCCAACATAGGGACCTCATTTGATAACTCCCATGGAGCACTCAACTGAAATTCAAGGCCTTTCAATCACAACGTATATTTCAGTCTGGAGAATGTACTTCCAAGTGGAACACAGCAGCCATTCAGTTTTTATAGATGAACAACTATATATATATATATATATATATATTCTCCTTGTTTTATTTTATCCCCCCCCCCCATCTTACACCAATGATTTGTTGTTGTTGTTGTTGTTCACTGGGTCACTGAGCCCCCTTTCAGAGCTGCCCAATCCCAATATTATGTATTATTTATGCTTCTTTGTTCCAATGGATGGGATAAAACAAACAACTATAACAAAACAAGGAAAGATTGGGAGAGAATGTGTGAAAAGGTAGCTTCCTCTGCAGGAAGCTGTTGTCTGAAATCACTTGGATCAGTGGACAATTATGTTCAGGCCTTTAGAGGGTGTTATTCTGTACTGGTTGTACTATTAGAGCTGAAAGAAACAAAAAAGAAAAAAGAAAAAAGAAGGAAAAAGAAGTGGAATCTTTCCAATCCATTATTGTTTCTCATATGAAACTATATTGTCACAAACACTACTGTGTGCATGGTTCTGTCTTTATCCACTGCAGTATGTAGTTGTTTCACAAAGTTTGGACAGGCACACTTACCATTACGGGAAAGAAAAAAAGATGAAACAGTTTATTATACTTTGGGATTTGATTCATCTCCTTATTGTTTTCCCTGAATTTGGAGACTAACTTGCATCCACCCATCAAACGTCCAAGTTTTTCTTTATCATTGTGAGTGAGTGAGTTTGTGAACACACACACACACACACACACATATATATATATATATATATATATATAGACACGTATGTGTGTGAGCTTTAAAACACATGTGTCATGTAGTTCATTCTAAACCCTAAAACTGGGGATTATGTAATTAAAATAGTTAAAGTATCATAATGTCCAGAATTAAGATTCCACGATTACCATGTGTTTTCACGAACAATAAGACTCATGAGAACTGTGGAGAACGAGTAATTACACCTGTAATGTTACCGTTCCCTAACCTTTTCCCCGGCCAAAGATGCGGCCTTCCCGTGTGCGACCCGACCTGAGGAGAGTAACGTCGTTTGAGGGAACCTGTGACGTATGCTAGAGTGGGCCGGAGTCAAAGCCCTGGCCTGCACCCCTGGGAACAGTTCCCCATCCTTCGCACGACGTGCCCGTGGGCGCCCCTCGCAGTTCCCCTTTCGCATGACACCCTGGCCCCACACAGGACTTGACACGTGGATTTCTTTATTGAAAGGCTTTACTGTAGTGTTGTGTTCTTAAAATTCAGAATAGATTGAGTTTTTGAAGTAGGTTTCCATTTTCGGCCTTATTCGCTTTAAACCTGGCACATATTTATTATATAATCATTAAAAATAGAAATTTATTGTCTATTATTTAGAATAGCTTATTTTCTCATCCAAAAACCTCTTTTGAATCAATTCATTTGTGAGCTCCTCCCCCACCCCAATCATACTATTTCCTTGTAGATGAATCTTAGTATGGATATGGTACACATCAAAATTTGTGTACTCTTGTTCACCTCTAATTGAATTGCAACAACTAGTCCCACCAATACTTGTAAATACTAATCTAAAAAAATGTTGAAAGGTAGATATAAATAATAAAAATGAAAATAAACACAATAATTCAAAACTTGGAACAAAAATTAAATGTTGTATGAAGCTCAGGTTACATAAATCATGCTTCTGCAGATTTATACATACGTACATACGTTCATCGTAGATTACAATTGTGACCGTGGGCAACGCGGCCCCGAACTTGGGAAGGAGGTAGGAAAGGAGAGGGCGAGGCCGAGGAGGAGGAGGTTGTCGGAAGGAAGTGGAGAGATAGGAGTAGTTGGAGTAGCAGTAGGAGAGGAACCGGGGCCAGGAAATCCGAGGAGATCGACGACACGGAGAGAGGGCAGGGAGAAGGAGTAGGAGAATGGTGATGGCATCGGGACGGAGCAGGCAAAGTCTTGTGACACCGTAGAATAGGAGAATCGAATCTCATCTTCCGAATCGGCTTATTTAACTGGCCCCTAAATTCCTACTAAGGCCGCATCCACATCTGGCACAGCAGGAGGGAGAAGCAGCAGAAGTAGCAGCATCATCAACGCTGGCTAATCTAATCTGGTCTGGTCTGGTCCAGGACTGGGTGTCGTCGAGTCGCCGTGGGGAACCCAGACGAAGCCCAGAGAGAGTGGGTCCATCATTGTCGAACTGTTGGACGGCCATTCAATGATCGAAAGCATCGACTCTCTCGTGCCAATCAGCAGCAGCACGGAATGAAATGCACCACCGTCTGTTGGGCGCGAGTCCCGAATCATCGAGCCTCCCGGAGGTTCGACGACGTTGTCCGACTCTTCTCCCCCCACATCTACGTAGGGTAGGGGACCGTGGGGGGTGGGTTCCAGCTTTCGTAGCCTTGGTGGGCCGAATGTGAAGCGGGGAATGATTGAGCGGCGCATTGTCGTCACCCCAACGTGTTTCCCAGATTTTCGAACACGGGCCGTCTTCTCTTTCCATCGGTCATCAATGATCGCCTCCGTCGTCACTACCACAACCGGAGTTGCAGTTCTCTCAACTAATTAGAGAGTGGGGGCAAACGACATGCAACGGGAGGTTTATTTGTTCGCATCCGGTGTAGGACCATCTGTACCATCGCTCATTATGTGTGGACTTTTGGTCCTTGTCTAGGAGAAAATAACGAGGAAGGCTCGGAGAATGCGGTCACGCCGCAAGGCTCTGGCTAGCCCCTGGAGAAGAGTGTACTACACTCGGCCAACGTTATTGATTACCCACATAGGTCAATGACTTCCATGGCACAAGCATGGCAGTGAGAGAACGGGAGATATTACAACCAGATTCTGGGCAGCAATGAGTGAGCGCACACTTTTGCAGCCTTCTTCCAATTCCGCCGCTCACCTGCCATTCTCTCCCGCGTTTGTCCATACTCTTGGGTTAATCCTCTTGCTGCGACTAGGCGTGGAATTACGTCAGTCTGAAAGGGTATAGAATTTTTTGAGCAGAATTTGCTCTCATCGATTCCAAATTTTCATAGCTAAGATTCAGAGGTTTATATTGTCTTCAAGACATCATTCTTACTAGTGCCCCCGTCCGACTCCGTTGGAGAGGTTCGGCCGTCGTTCCGTTTCGCACACACGAAATCTCATTCGATAGTTCTAGGGACTGCACTCTGATATCTGATCCTCGACGAATCCTTGGCTCTCCCTCTTGGCTCCTCTCCTTGCTTACCTTTTATCTGAATCTTTAATGGTTGCTAGTGTTACGAAGTGGTACCTTTAGCTCTTGGCCGATGAGTGAATACCAACCATCACGTTTCTCCTGTTTAGTAAGAAGAACCTAAAGATCGCACGATTGTATGACTCTTACTTGCTAGTCTTACCACCGTAGAGCAGGATTGTAAGGTCGGAAGGATTAGCCTGAAGCCCAATAAGTGCAATCCGCAACAATGCAGCAGCGTCAGTACCGAAGGATGAACAGTCGGCTGCGGAGGGCACCTCTGACCCGTCTGCAATGGATCGCTGGCTACGTCGCTCTCACCTTAGGAACTCTTATTCTCACTTATATCTTCTCAGATGGGCTGCACTCTTTTCGCTCAAAGACCCACTCGCTTGACCATCACGATGCTTCTCTCGTGCTCCCTAAGGTCCGTAGGAAATCATTCTGTAATTTTCGCTGCTGGTCTTTTATCAATCTCTCCTGAAATACTTCAGAAATTGCTTGAATATTGTAGAATTTGAACCTACTTGATTTGGCTGTTTCCCGAGACTTGCGCTATGTATTATTTTCCCTTGTACCTCGTACTCAAATTTCAAAAAACTAGCGAAATTTTGGAGTCTACCGTGCTTTACTAGTAGGAAGGCTCCTGTAGATCTCTTGGTGGAATAGCATTTACCTGATTGAGAAGCTCGTGGAGGATTTCTTGAAATTTTCAGTCATCAATTGTTTGGCTTGTTTACAATTGCCCATTTTTTATTTATTTATTTCTTTTAATGAAGAGAATTTAGGGGTACTAAGGGATTGCTTGTATTGTTTTCACAATAGGAAAATGTACTGGGCCAGACCCACGGATTGAATTTGAAGCAGGAACTGGTTTCCTCTCACTTGCGATCCACAAAGTTGGCTCTGCACATTGAAGATTCCAGTCTGGATCTTCAAGCTAAAGTGAGTTTTTGCAATGGTCCTTTTACAGTAATTAATCTATGTCAGACCAAACTCGATGTAAGAGGATGCGGTGTCTTACGGCGTAGAGTATATGACTGGCGATATAAAACTTGAAGTTGTTCTGAAGTTTATTTATTTATTTTTTCTCGAAATGGACAGAAGAGTAGTTTTCTTCTTACATGCCGAACCTAATGAAGAGTAACAAGAGGTGTTTGTATCATACGTAGTCGCCCATGCAAGAGGGCGGTATAATTTTCAATATCTGTTTTGAGCTGACAGGGTGCAATTTTTTGTTCTTTCTCTCTGTTGCAAACAGCTTTGGGAACCGCCAGCAGATAAAGGATTTGTCCCTTGTGTCGAACCAGGCCCAGCGCACTCAGGTATGAGATGTTCAATGATCAACAAATGCACCCAACTGAGACAATAACACGTTTTGCTTGAAGGCATAATCTCTTGCCGTTTTGCATCTCATTATAAAATGATAAATCCATGCTTTTCTGTATATTCAACTACCGTTTCTAAACTACACTCTGCTCCCATGTGCAATGCTTTGCAGGCCCTAAGCCTGCCAAAGGCTATCTAATGGTGTCCACAAATGGTGGACTCAACCAGATGAGAGCAGGGGTGAGTCTTTTTGGAGTGCTCTTGATTTCTTCAGTCTGCTTGGTTCAATCTTTACCAGGGATCCTGTACTTGATATCCTTCCCGATGTTTCCTTCTGTGTCTAATGCAATGGTATGGCGTGCAGATTTGTGATATGGTAGCAATTGCACGATTAATCAACGCTACTCTTGTAATCCCAGAACTGGATAAGGGTTCATTTTGGCAAGATGCCAGGTGAGATGCCAGGAGACTTAACCTTCACCTGCTGAGTACCCGGTCTTTTATGATTCTATGCACGGGGCGTGCTTTCTTCGCAGTGAATTTTCGTATTGATCGTCCTTCATCTTTGCTTTCAATGTAGGGGTTCTGTATCCTGTATTTCGGCCTGTTTCCCCTTAAACGCCCTTTTCTCGTGTTTGGGATGCAGCAATTTTTCAGATGTTTTTGACGTTGAGTATTTCATAAAGGCGCTGGCTAATGACATCCCTGTCATCAAGGCGCTCCCTCCGAGCATGAAGAGCGAGCCCAAAGTCTTGAAGCAATTTCGAAGCTGGTCTGGCGTGAAGTATTACGAACAAGAAATAGGAAGACTATGGCTGAACTATAAGGTACATCCCTTGTTGCGATCTCTTGCACACGTTGATTTTGTGTACTTTTCAACAAAATGAAACCCACCATGCCACAGCCGAGTTCTCAAAGAAATAGTTTCTTTAGGCCAGTGATGATGTGAGTTTAACTTTTTTGGACTTACATTACATCTAAAAAACGTATCAACAGGTGATAAAAGCTGCGAAAACAGATTTGCGCCTTGCAAATAACCACCTACCCGCCGAGATTCAGAAGCTGCGCTGCCGAGTACACTACGATGCACTACGTTTTGCTCCTCACATCGAAGCTTTGGGGAAGGTATGCAGACTGTACCTTGTTCGTTAGATTAGGCTGGAATATGCAAGTAGGGTCGGGGTTTACTCTGAGTGGACAAAGCATGCTGTTAAGTTTTCACGTTCATCTTCGAACGTGTTGTGTTTTGTTCATTCACTAGTTGGTCTTATACAAGAACATGTAATGTACTTGAAATGAATGGGAAAAACATACCACTCTGGAGGTTCGGCATAATTCCCATTGGTCATTTAGGGTTTCGTCTCGCTCATTGTGTGAGCAGGTGATAGTGGAAAGACTGAGATCGGCAGGACCTTACATCGCATTACATCTGCGGTATGAAAAAGACATGCTGGCCTTTAGCGGCTGCACGTATCAATTATCCACAGAAGAAGCCCAAGAGCTTACCACTATAAGGTACTATCCCTCTATGCAGCTGGTGAAAGTATGTCGCTTCAGTTTAGTGTATTCGCGCACCTTTTGTCAAATTTACTGGCAGTTCGTGCAATATCTGTGGTTTTAACAAGGATAAGTTCACTCGTCAGTCTATTTGGTGTTGATTGCACTCTTCGGAGCAATTGTGCTTGTATCATATTCCAGACAACACTAAATAGATTATATTGCAGGCTAACGCAACAGTGACAAAACATGCAGGGAAAATACACCTCATTGGAAGGTTAAGAAGATAAATGGAACAGAGCAAAGGAGGAACGGGTTTTGTCCTCTTACTCCGACAGAAGTTGGCGTGTTTCTGAAGTCGCTAGGTTACCCCGAGAGCACTCGAATATACGTTGCGGCTGGAGAGATTTATGGTGGTCGTGAGCGGATGTCAGGTCTTCTTTCCCGCTTCCCAAACGTGATGAGCAAGGTAAACTGGGACGGAACCGCTTTCATGAAGTTAGGCTGAGCTTCTCTGTTATTTCTGTGCATATAAGCTCAATTCACTGTTAGTGATGATATCGCCGACTTGCTGACATTATGTATTACTGTCATCAGGAATACATTGCCACCGCTTCAGAACTGGCGCCGTTTTTTAATCATTCGTCCCAAATGGCAGCACTGGACTATATAGTATCCGTTGAGAGTAATGTATTCGTGTCGTCCTACTCTGGAAACATGGCGCGTGCCGTTGAAGGACACCGCCGCTTTTTGGGTCACCGCAAAACCATCAGCCCTGATAGAAAGGAACTCGTTGCTCTGTTTGATATGCTAGACCAAGGTCTTCTCAAAGAGGACCAGAATCTTGCGGATGTGATAACTACAATGCACGAGAATCGGTAAGCCCGATTGTATGTTGGGTTCAAGCAACACCCTAACTCTCCAACCGTATTCATCCAAATCCTACTGAACCAAATCTATCCCTCGTTTGCAGGCAAGGCGCTCCTCGCAAGCGTAAAGGACCGCTGAAAGGAACGAAAGGTAGAGACCGTCTGCGGTCCGAAGAGGCTTTCTACACAAATCCCACGCCAGATTGTTTGTGTCAACAATCCGACTTCCCTAAACATGTAAATTACGAACAGAACTATTCTCCTCAAGAGACGGAGCGAGAAGGGAGGCAGATGGAGTCAGGGGTTGCAGTGCAAAGAAGATAGTCTAGCAGATTGTAACAGCAACGATATGTTAATGTACATTGTGCTCAGACTCAACCATCACGACGCAGAGTTACATGAGGCATCATGCTGTCAGCTTTCTCACATTCTCGATCAGAATGACGAGCTGGAACTCATCCAACCCGGAGTTCCGTTGTATGTGGGTAGCACTTCTTATGAACAGGTGCAACAGCATTCGACATCTTGCGAGCCTAATGTCTAATTCCACAACAGGATGAAACATGTCTTCCACATCACTCCCTCCTAGCTGGAATGCTTTCCTTGGTTTCATTCTGTCTATGAAACTTACTCTAGATTTTGAATCTGAGAGTCGTAAAGCTTTGCAGTTGGCCGCTATTTCTCTGGCAGTTGTGTTGTCTGGCTAATAGGAAGTGGGCACCGATGCAATGTTCCGGTGTATGCAGCTGCCAAGTATTGGATATGTAGCTTCATCCTTAAGTGCAATGGAGGGCACCCACTAGTATGTCTAAACTGGAAGTTGTGTATTTCTTGTGCCACTCACAGCTGCCGAAAATTCCGACAGTAAATTGAGAATGTGTCGGTAGATCAGTGACGGGACATTAGGAGGTGTCGGTGTCACAGCCTAGTGAGAGGAACAAATCTAATCACGCTTTTTTGTAACATTCGGCATGCAAAAACGTGATACCGTTGCTTCTTTATTACACGACTTTGATACTCTTTTTAGAGTAAGATAAGGGGGTGAATATTCCAAATCCTGATTGTACAGAAATATATGCGCCAGATAATATTCAGAACATGTCGAAGTCAAACTTTCTACTAACAGTCACATCTTTTCGGTTGAACTCTTTCGGAAGATTTTGTGTTTCTTCGATCATGTACTTACTATAAGTAGTTTAAAAAAGAACAAAATGAATAATCAATCTAATGAGATGAAGCTAACAACTACCTTACCACCAAGATTTATTTCGCTTGTAAGCAAGTGTGTTTCTATCGCATATGATCGGTTGGTGTAGGACAACAATCATGTTGTCATACCACTTCGTGACACATACAAGTTGTGAACAGGTGGTTCAACAATGTCAACCATCTTCATACTAAGTGTAATAGATAATCACCTAATTTAACCACCTTTTACAAAAAAAAAAACACAAGAATAAAATAACACTTAGAGTAATTGTTTTCTCTATTTACTGAGCGTATATATTAGTGGATTCCACCTGTTACCAGTTCTTACACGTTAGTATAAAATCAACAATTTAAGTATTGAGTTGTTTAAATTTTATTTAAAATCCACTGAATCTTTTTCTATCTATTATTTTAAGTATCTTAAGCAGCATCTCTACATTTTATTACTTTGCACTAATTCAATGAGTATAAAACTGCGTCATATTTATGACAATCCTTTTCAAGTCAACAGAGTAGTACAACATTTTTCAACATGTTTTTCAGAAATCTCTCATGGGTCGTTGACATGGTAAGCTGATGTACACTAGATAAGATACCGCAGTTAAAAAGCAACATATTTATACTCTGACAATTTAATACACATGTTTGTTATACAAGCAACACAACCTAGACAGTCAAAAAGGCGCCAGCCTGGCATGATGACGTGACACATAAACAGGTCACAGTAATGCCACGTACGCATCCTAAACTAGGACCCATAGCCGCGGCGCTCGTTCCAATTGCGGTGTGAACAGAGCTATGCGCTGTCGCCCCACCTCTTCTCGGTCCAGCACCCACGCCGAAACTCGGTGCAAATTGTGGCGATGAAGCCTCGCGGAGCAGTTGGGTCAACAATCGCCGTTGCATGCCCCCGACGAACTCCAAGCTCACTCATGCGCAGGCGCCGCCGGCGTCTTGGGCGTAACAATACCTAACTCGATGCAAACTATGAAAGCACTAGCAACAGCACGTGGTTTCTGCAATTCCAACTCCTCGCATGTCACTGCTTACTTCCCGCTGAGTGCAGCAATTGAAGAGGATACCACTTATCTTACACCGTCGAAGTGTCGGAAGGGCTTCACCGGAGGTTCTCTACCTTAAGGACAATAATGGCCAGGACCTCGTAGGGAAGGTATCTGAACTCTGGATACTTTCGTCTGCGTTGAGTTTTGTGTACTGATTGGATCAGCAATGGACGCCACGAGTACGCGCGAAGCGGCGAGCAGTTCAGCTGTAATGAGAAAAGAATCAGCTGTAGTACCGTACAGGCAGCTCCATGACGTGAGGCCTTTCTCCGTCGTGATGTTTGAACTTAGCCTCTGCTCTGAGCTCGAGGCTGGTGCGGCCGAAGTAGATTGTACACTCGAAAATCGGCATTTCAGTTACCCGGTAGTTAGTCGGTAAATCGATGGCGAACCCTCCTTCCCTGACAACGTCGGGGCCCTGTGTGTACCGTGGCTCCAGCAGATCGGAACTGTACAAATCGAACATCATTTGTGCTTGGCCATCACTGTGAGGGACGTATTCCTTTGATACGAATTTGTTGACCTCGATCCGATTTCCTTTCTTCACGAAAGGGTCGAATCTGTTGCGACACCACTCCATCCCATCGTCGCCAACTTTCAGAAACTCTTCAGGATCTACACCACGCTGAAAACGCAAGGTGACACTGGTCCCGTACGTTTTCTTAAGGACTCGAGCCACAACTGCATCAGGATTGAGCGCAAGAGCAACGGCACCTTGGATGATAGCGCTTCCAGGGTTAGGAGGACTAACGATGTGTTCTACATCGTGGCTGAAACGCGCTCGGATTCTCTGCATTAAATAATGAGAGCCTGCAAACCCGCCCACGACGAACATCATTTTGATATCGCTCACTTGCATGAGCTGAGCGGCAATCAATTCGATGACCTCATCCACCACTGGATCGAAAATGTCCTTCAAATCCTGCTGCGTGAGCTCAACTTCGCTATATGAATCCCGTGGTGGATATCCTCGTTCCTTTTCGTAAGCTTCCCAGCTTGCAGCTAACCTGTTATGAATAGTAATCTCCGTTGAATCGTAAGTCGTCATCATCTCACTACCAAATCCGCATTTGATTGTTTCCCAATCTTTGAGCAGGCGCGACCTGTAGGACGGGACAACCGACCGCAAAAACTCGTCCAGACATCCTATTCTTTTAGACAAGAATCGCAAGAAAGATTCGTCAACAAAGGTCCCGCCACAGAGACCTCCAGAGCTTTCCGTGAGCTCTTGCACCTTATAATCGTTCCCGGAGCCTATCAACTCCTGCACAACAATGTCAACCGTTCCGCCTCCAACATCGGCAACCAGAATCTTATCCTTCCTATGCAAGGTCAAATCCTTGTGCTTCAGTCGTAAAATTTGGTGGCAATGGAAGGAAGCAGCTTCTGGCTCCAATACAACTTTCACCGACTCTATTCCACCATCGCCGGACACAAGACCGGCATTCACCATACACGCCTTCATCTGCTGCTTCGCAGTATCATCCCAAATAGACGGCACCGTCACGCACCATTGCACGGAGTTCCTTCTGAAATTCACCTCCCCCTCGTGGTTCTTTATCACCGTCAAAGCAAGCTCACCGATGCACTTCAAATAATCTTTGATGATGGTGTTAACCGTGAGCGGCTGCGGTATGCTTGACGCCAAAAAAGCATCATCCAAGTCTTTCTTCAAGAGCAGCTTGAATTTCGACAAATAGTACCCTTTGACCGCAGGGTTCGAGGCACCTGCTATATAATCTGAACGAGCGTGGTGACCCCAAGATGAGCACTGCAACCTCCCCGGTGCTGTCACCTTGTAGTAGATTCCCGTCAATGTCTTGCAATACGGTTTCTCACTAATCCTGCTCGGCCAGTCGTAATAGACATGGATGTTCTCTGGATCTGCTACTTTTGCGTAAGCAAATCCTGAGTAAGTGGTTCCGAAATCTAGTCCTACGACCCATTCGGAAACGGGCGCAGCTATGGCCTTGTCAGGAGGTTGATAGACTCTCGAAACTTCTTCTATGTTGTTGCCTGGTACGACAACGGGGGCCGCGGTAGCGCCGCCCCGAAAAGTTCTGGTTCCGAACTGGTCACCTCTTTGAACTCCACCCAAACCTAGACCGTTATGGACTTGACCAGGCGCTGGAGCTTTTAGTACATATGCTGGTGATGCATTGAACTCCACCACTTTCGAAGGTTCTTCGTTAACTTTCCCACACCAACCAAAGCAAGCCATTCGTGGATCTGTGGAGACAACCAAGAAAAATGTATCGACACAGATGCGACAGCAATAAAGAGTGGTGGAGTCTTGAATCCAATTCTCTGTAGCCGTCGCCCAGATTGAATACTGTGTCTTGGCAGAATCGAAAAAAACAATTGGTACTGATTCTAGAGAAGATGAGTTCTAATGCAGAGCACAGCAGCGAAGGACGATTCAACGGATATAGCGCCACAATTCCACCTCAACTCCAAGTCCGATAAACACACTACACTATTGGCGCATCGAAAGCAGTGCGGTTTGCATCAGTCGATGCATCAAGGTCCTGATCTGCAACATCCAAACAGGATGTGGTTGTGGTGTTACCCTAACCCCAGAGTGCCCGAGTTCAATCAAGAGAATACGCCCCAGTTTGTGACAGGCAGGCCACACATTCTCACCCTCTATTAAACAAACCCTCAAAACTTCTAGTTGATGCGCTAAATTGCGAGACTAATGTACCGACGTGGACTCCAATAGCTAGCAAATTGCAATCCTCTGGTTAAAAATCGCAACACGCGGTCTTACCGACAATTCTCACCAAGAAGCCGAAAACTACAGGTGTTGAATGAGCAGGTACAGAAATGACAGATTCAGCAACATAAAGCTTCAAGAATCTTTCATTTGCAACATAATGTTGCCGCTTGCAATCAGTTTTCGAGGACAAGTTGCAGGACAATTCCAGCAGACAATAGCAATAAACGGTAGGAACAATCGGAGAGCGAACGGGCATCCGCATAAACTGGGATATGAATGATGGAAGTCACCCGCTCGTTGCAAGTCTTTCCTTGCGCCATTCCGCGTTCCGACTATTCTCGATTCCTTTACAGAGCTTCGCATTACTATCTTTACCTCGGCCAGAGATGGAGGGGACAGGTGTACACACACTCAGCAGAGACTAGCCAAATTTAGGTAGGACTTCCTATTTTGTCTGTAACGACAACCACAGGTTTGTTCACACCGGGTGATTTCTCTAGTGCGGCTCAACGAATGAGGACGATGACTTTCGGAATAAGTGAAGCTGGTGAGAGCAGAGAGTGCTTCTGCCTTTGCGGCACTGTAACGGACTCGCAAATGATGGACAACTACATCCCATTTGTGGTGTCCGAGACGACTCTGTGAATGATTACCTTCCTTTTCTACTAGGTTCATCGCAGATAAGACGGGCGCGATTGCCGAGCTAGACAGCGCCGCAGGAAATGATTGATCAAGTGCGGAGCTGTCGACGCTGGGATCCCCTCTTTCAAGTGTGTCCTTGGGCAGGATTCAGTAGCACGTACCTTGCCGTGCAGGTCCTCTTTTGATTAGCTTCAGCTACCTGGGTTTGATTAAAAACAACACGATGCTCCCCTAGTAACAAACAACCTAGTGGAACGATTAGATCAGGCACCATGCAATACCGACTAACACCAAAAACAAATTTAATAAGAAGTCACTATATATTAAAAAAACAGGGTGAGTGGGGAACTGGAGTCACTGGGGTGGAAAGCGGTGGTATATGATTCGTTAGGTGGGTTACACAGTGCGCATGCCAGGCAAATGAAGTGTCCGACCTTGAGTCTGCAAGTCTGCAGCAACTGGGTCTCTCTCTATGCCCACATAGATCGATTTTCCCCCTGTCTGTCACGTGCTGACCTTTGTGCGTAAAATGGCTCGCTGGCAACGTAAACTCCGCTGCTTAATATGAACAGCAGCACGCCACTAGTGAAGTCTGCACCATCGTTGGCAGATGCCTGGTTTCCTGGGGGGAATTGCACATGCTTTTTGCTTTATTTTTCAATGAGCAGGGGTAAATCCATTTGGAATCCCTTAGGATTTCATAACTGGGATAAGAATCCCCAACCTTTTTGGCGATTTAGTGGAACAGGTACCCATGTCGCTCTCTGACCTTTTTTTGTTTCATCCGTCCGTCATCCATTCGTGTCTTCAAACATAGATAGATGTTGGGTAGATGTTTCAGATTTTGTGAACAATTCATTGACAAATAACCAATTGTTGGAAGTTTTTAAAATATTGGTAGAAGGGGTGCAACATTGGAATTTGTTTTTGTTTTTGTTGTTTTTTTTTTTTTTTGTTTTTTTTTCTCTTCATATATATATATATATATAAAAGAAACACAAAATTATTTATGAGCAATTAGATAGGATTAAAGGTTTAAGATTTATTAAAATGTTCTTGTGTGAAGAGCTATTTGGATTTTATATTCATCCTATATCAATACCAATTAAATACCTATTCTACTATGATCCTTTTTTGATGCTATTTTTCAAACTTAGATACAAAGTATTATATATGAATTATTGATAAGGTTAAATTTAGTATTTTAAATTTTTCTTAATAAGGATTTTTATTTTATTATTCTTTATTATTTTTATTATCAAACAATATATGTCATATTTAACTTCTATTTATATTGTCAAATTTTAACAACTTATTTGTAATATAGATTAGAATGAGAAGGCTCTTATTAATTAGATTTAATATGATTTTAAATATATTATCAAAAATCTATTATTAAGAATAAAAAATTATATTTATTAATAAAAATTATTATTTAAGCAATTATATCTAATAATTGATTCTGTAAAAGGTGTCAAGAATAAAAAAAATAAAAATAGAAATAGAAAAATAGAAAAATTAAATACAAAGACATCCAAGTACAATAGGAATCTAGCAATTAGATATCCTTGGACTACAACCATCAAATGTAGATCTCATATTACTACTAAATCCTACAACTTGTTTTAAACTTTTATATATTTTTTATTGCTTTAGATCATAAATGTTTAGCTCAAGGACTTTTAGATACCAATTTTGTGTTGTAACACAATTATTAGGTGAAATAGTATATAACGACCAATATTGTAGAAAGAATTTATTAAAAGTACAATAAAACTTTATTTTAGAAGTTTAGATAAAAGAATGAAAATTAGATAATATGGCAAAAAATTATACAACAATGGCAAAAAGAGGGCTTTTATTTGATTAAAGAATAAAATTAGAGAATAGACTTGATAGAGGTTTTTTGACTATTAATTTTGAGTGTCTTAAATAGACAATGACTTTGTGAAAGCTTTACAAAGTTATGATTGTTTTAGATGATTCTATTTTTTGTGAATTAAAAAATATATATTTTAAAAGATTATATGAGTTTTGTAGAAAATATATAATTTAAACTATTAAAATATATAAATATATTTTTTCTAGATGTAATTTATAAAATTGAGTTTAATAAAATAATTAGATTAAGAATTATTAAATTTCACATATGATAGGATCTTAGAAGTTGGAATTTGAGGATCAATGAGATTTTCTATAATCTTTAGCAACTTTTTTGATAAATCAATATTTTCTTATGAGATAATATTTGACTTGATTTCTGATTTTTTTATAAATTTTGAAAAAAATTGAATATTAAAAAAGAATATTAGTATTAAAGTATTAACATATAAATTAGAATAAGAGAACAACTAGTATTTGAAGGAATTAGATATTTTCTCTCAATTTTTATATTTCAATCTTTTCACATTATATATAACTTTTGTTATTTAAAAGATTAGAAAGAATAATTTTTATTAATAAACATCATCAATTTACTTAATAAATATTAAAGTATCAAATTTATTATAGAATTTAATTAAGATTTATTATTAGTTGATTCAATTTTAATTATAATAATATTAAAATTTATTAGGATTTAATTATTTATTAATAAAAAATTGATTAGACTTTATTTAGAATTTTTTTAAAATTGATTAGGATTTACATTGGATTTTTAAGGATTCAATTAGAATTTAATAGGATTTATTTAGGATTTATATAGGATTTTATTAGGATTTTTTGAGACCTAATTAAGATTAAATTAGATTTTGAATAAGATTATTAAGAAATTTTAAAAAATTTATATAGAATTGATTGAAATTTTATAAGATAATTTCTAGGATTTTTTAAGATTAATAAGATATATTGAGGATATTTAAAAGCTTGCTTGAGTTGTTTAAGATTGTCAAAAAAACGTTTCTAAATACCTTATGTATTTTTTTTGGATTGTAAATCTAATATTTAGATATATAAAGACTCTTCTATAGCCAAATGGTGTCAAGAGTATGAATCTCAAAGAAAGAAAATCCTCAATATACTCTTGTATTACTAAAGGGAACTAGAAAGCCACTCAAAAGGTGATGTAATATTAAACAAGAATGGCTATTGCCAAAAACAAGAAGCCTAGAAAGACTTGAAATAAGATTAAAGACTAGAAAGGCTTTGACGAGAGTAAAGAAGGCTTCACTCTTGCCTCTATATATACTCTTAACTAGGAGCTACATGGTGATGTCCTATAGGACCTCCAAAACATGTTGATTTTGCAATATACATATCTTAACTTGCAAGGCAAGTTTTATATATATATGCCACATAGTTAGCTTGTTCTGTAAGCTACCAATACATGGTTAACTTGTTTTTCAAGTTTCTAACCTACCAATTAATTACAAACACATGTAAAGTTAGGCAACATCTATGAAACTTCTAGGAAGCTTTTTTAAAAGATCTTATGAAATTAACCTATTACTTTATCTACTTTTATCTATTCCTATATAATCATATAATTATTTATCAAAATATATATATATATATATATATATATATATATTTGTGATATTATCCCTCCTTCTTGGGGCAAGTTCCATGAAGAGCATTCTTCATATGTTGACAAAATCCAAGATGTGGCAAATTATATTTACTACATACTTTAATCTTTGTTCTCTTTGAAGATGGTTGATAGGCTCATTTAGCTATCAATAGTGTCCCATACTAGGACAAGAAGACTACCTTGTTATTTAGTTATTTTTGAGGCTTTTGTAACTTCTTTCAAATAAAATATTTGGAACACCATCATGAGTTGTTTTTATTTCTAATAAAACCACCAAACATCAGAAGTCTCTTTGAAGGTCGTGATACCAAACACATTGTACCTTGCCATC